GGTCTAGACAGTATTTGGTCCTGCCATGAGGGCAGGGGACTGGACTCGACGACCTCTCGAGGTCCCTTCCAGTCCTAGAATCTATGAATCCTCCTCAAAGGAAGCCTGCACAACACTTTCAAACAACGAGCCTAGGAGCTTAAATTCATAACTCTGCTAGACACTAAAAATCATGGACTGAACAGACCCTGGATTTATGGCTTATTACAACAATCTGTAACCCCCTAACCCCGCTTTTTGTCCTATGACTGCAGAAGTGTTAACAGGCCACCCTGCCTCGAATGGTCACTTGAAATATGTGTTAACTGCTTATGCTAAACCAGCCGTTCTACTTTGTATTTCCCGGTGACACTCTGAATAAGGGCCCGTCTATACTTAAAACACTGCATCGGCCCAGCTGCACAACTGTCTACACAGGAGGTTCAGTCGGTGTAACTAACTACGTCGCTCAGATGTGTGGATTTTTCACACCCCTATCAACGTAGTTATGGCAACATAGGTCTGTAGTGTAGACCAGACCTGAGTTTCCAAGAGCTGAAGAAGAGCTCTGTGTAAGCTTGAAAGCTTGTCTCTCTCTCTCTCACCGACAGAAGTTGGTCCAATAGAAGATATTCCCTCACCCACCTTGTCTCTCAAATTGTGTGTAAGGCCTCACAAGCTTAGCCAATTAGAAACCTCCCCTCACACTTCATCTCAAAACAGTTTTGGAATATCTGGGGCTTGACCCTGCATTCCTTGTGCAGACAAAAACCCCCACAGAAATCGGTGGAATGCAGGATCAGGACCATTGTATGTACCACAGAATGTCCCCCAGTTTTCCCCACAGCTCTGCCCTTTACACTTTGTGCTGCTCCATGTCCCCCAGCACCACCTGCCCCAGCTGTCTGGAACCAGGCCAGTGTCCTGAGCTCCCCGGAAGGGTTTTGTAGAACAGAGAAGGAAATGCTGGTATTTACCATCGATGGTCACTTGGGTTCCATTCCCACGAGATGTCCCATCCTTGTTCCCAACCCAACATACGTAGGTTCCAGAATCAGTGACGTCAGCTTTCTTCACGGTGAGCGAAGGAGACCTCTTTTCTTTATCTCCTGATAATCTGATTCGATCTGTTCCATTGGATAACTTTTCTGTTACATAGTTTCTGGTTTTATTCCATTCAACAAACCACTTGATAGAGTTATTGCTTGAGTTGAATGTACACTCGATGGTGAACTCTGACCCTTCCATTGCACGGATAGAAGGGGGTGTCTGATTCACCCCAAAGACAGCAGCAGTATTTTCTGCAGCTCCTGAAACACAAAGTTCAGTGTCACTATTTACATTATTGCAATGGAGGAAGAATTAAATCAAACAAAATTGTTTGCAAATGATCCAATGCAGAATGTTTCCATTTCTCTACAAGGAAGCCAAGTGCCCGAGCCGGAACTCTCTGCTGAAGGTCACGGCATGATGTTCAGAGCGGTGAGTGGGGAGGGCTCAGACTGGGCAGTTTACACAGGCCCCACTGGCACTGTTAGCCGGCCTGCCCCACTGGCTCCAGCCTGCCCTACGGGCTCCAGGGGGCCTCTCCCTAAGTGCCAGCGAGAGAGCACTGGGTGGCTCCTAGGGATCTAGAGAGAAGCCCAAATGCAGGGAATTGGGCCTGCAGGCCCCACGGTGGAGTGTCTGCTCCAGGGAGGCAAATCTCAACAACAATGGGCCAACCAGAGACTTGGGGGGAGGGCTCAAAGAAGGGAGCTAGAGATGGGAGAGGCGAGACAAAAGGAAGGTGGAGGGGGGAGAAGACTGAGGGAAAGAGAGAGCTGGGAGTGGAAAAGAAAGGATGGGAGAGAGAGAGAGTGTGTGCAAAGCAGGGGAGAGGGATAGAAAGATGGAGGGGTCTAAGGAAAGGGGAAGTAAAATAGACAAAGAAAAAGGCAATGAGGTGAGGAAAAAATCTGAGATGGAAGGAAAGGACAATTCACGTAGTTATTTATTCCCATTGCAGCTAGAGTCCTCAACCACCCGTAGAGCCCCACTGGCCAGGTCAGAGGCAGGAATCGGGCAGTGTGGGGCGCTGGCTGTTCACAGCCAGTAAGAGCTGCCCACGTGGGGGGATCTGACTCCAGGGCCAGCAGAGTCCTTGGGGGGCAGTGACTGTGGGCCCTGGGCTGGAGCAGGTCAGTCTGGTCTGCTGAGGGGAGCCCTGAACCCTCCACCTGCCCTGGGCAGTGCGCCCTGGCGAGCGAGGACAGGGGCCAGGGACTGCTCTCAGGCCCCCTGGTCCCTCACTCAGGCTTATTTCTCTGCTGCTGCTGGAGCTGGGCACCTGGCCAGCAGCCACTGCTCTCTCCACTCTGCCTTCAGAGCTGGGCAGCTGGAGAGCAGCAGCTGATACGGGGAACTAAGGCACTTTTTGGGGTGGCTACAGCCCGTGAAAGCCCACCCCGCTGCTGGTCCTGCCTATGCATTAGACCACACTGCCTCCCCCTAATTAGTATTAGTTATTATTAAGCAGTACTGCTAACGAGCATAGCACTCTGCAGAACAACGAGCAGGACGATGTATTCCTATCTTACAGTGCTGATGAAATACTTTCTATTTGATCAGTAACTAGGCAGGATGTACACTAGCAATGTTACAGGGAAGCATTTCTTTAACCGGCAGGACTGGATAACTTGCACCCAAGAGTATTAAAAGAATTGGCCGAGGAGCTTGCTGAACCATATTGTTTTTAATGAATACTGGTACAATGGGGAAGTTCCAGAGGACAAGGGAAAGTTAATATTGTGCCAGTATTTAAAACGGTAAATGAGATGACTTGGAAAACTCTCAGCTGGTTGGTCTGACTTTAATCCCAGACAAACAAACTTGATATAATATTTTGGATGACGAGTTTGGTTGATAAAGGTCCTGGAACTCTGGGACTGCTGTCCCCCCTTGACTCTCCAGCCTGGGTCGTCTCTCTCACAGAGCTATGCCAGTGAGCAGCAGCAAACCCCTCCAGGGGCCGTGATCACTTATCATCAGCATGTGGAGACCCACACCCAGCTAAACTGCATGAAGGCTCCCCAAGCCTCTCACAGAATCATAGAACTGGAAGGGACCTCGAGAGGTCATCTAGTCCAGTCCCCTGCACTCATGGCAGGACTAAGTATTATCTAGACCATCCCTAACAGGTGTTTGTCTAACCTGCTCTTAAATTCCCAATGATGGAGATTCCATAATCTCCTTAGGCAATTTATTCCAGTGCTTAACCACACACAGTTAGGAAGTTTTTCCTAATCTCCAACCTAAACTGTCCTTGCTGCAATTTAAGCCCATTGCTTCCTGTCCTATCCTCAGAGGTTAAGGAGAACAATTTTACTCCCTCCCCCTTGTAACAACCTTTTATGTCCTTGAAAACTGTTATCATGTGTCCCCCCACTTCAGTCTTCTCTTGTCCAGACTAAACAAACCCAAGTTTTTCGATCTTCCCTCATAGGTCATATTTTCTAGACCTTTAATCATTTTTGTTGCTCTTCTCTGGACTTTCTCCAGTTTGTCCACAGCCTTCCTGAAATGTGGCACCCAGAATTGGACCCAATACTCCAGTTGAGGCCTAATCAGCGCAGAGTACAGTGGAAAATTTACTTCTTGTGTCTTGCTTACAGCACTCCTGCTAATACATCCCAGAATGATGTTCACTTGTTTTGCAACAGCATTACAGTGTTGACTCATATTTAGCTTGTGATCCCCTATGACCCCCAGATCCGTTTCTGCAGTACTCCTTCCTAGGCAGTCATTTCCCATTTTGTATGTGTGCAACTGATTGTTCCTTCCTAAGTGTCCTTACTGAATTTCATGCTATTTCTCCAGTTTGTCCAAATCATTTTGAATTTTGATCCTATCCTCCAAAGCAGTTGCAACCCCTCCCAGAGTGGTATCATCTGCAAGCTTTATACGTGCACTCTCTATGCCATTATTTAAATCATTGATGAAGATATTGAACAGAACTGGACCCAGAACTGATCCCTGTGGGACCTGTAACAGGGTCGAGACTCACCGGTGTGGCACTTCCTGCTGGTCATTCGGGAATTACCTCGTCCAGCACTTGGAGTGCCTCCTGGTGGCCAGTGTCTTGCCTGCCAGGCCCCCGTGTCCCTCACGGACCTCAGTTCCCCTTACCTTGGGGTTCTGCCCACCCCATCAGTCCCCACGCTCTGGATCTCCCCTCCCAGGGGAACCCCCAACCCACTACGCCCCCCCTTGCCTCAGTGGCTACTGCCAGTCATCATCTAGCCCCCGTTCACTGGGGCAAACTGCAGTCTGTAGAGGCCACTCATCATTGGCAAGGAGATTGGACCAGCTGCCTCTGCCTAACCCCGGGCTGCACCTCCCAGCCCCAGTACCTGCATAGGCCTCTGTCAAGGCCTCAGCCTGGGGAGTTGCCAGGCTGGAGCTCCCTAGCTCCTCCTCCCTTTCCCCAGCACTGCTCTGCATCAAGGACCCTATTCCCAGGCAGCTACGTCCTTCTCTCTCCAAGGCTGGAGAGAGACTCTGACCCAGCTCCTCCCTGAGCCCTTACACTCATCTGGAGCACTATGTCCAGTTTTGGGCCCCACATTACAAGAAGGATGTGGAAAAATTGGAAAGAGTCCAGCGGAGGGCAACAAAAATGATTAGAGGGCTGGAGCACATGACTTATGAGGAGAGGCTGAGGGAACTGGATGCATCAGGCAAGGTATTTCCAGTAGAGATAAGGAGGTGTTACTACTGTTATACAAGGCACTGGTGAGACCTCATCTGGAATACTGTGTGCAGTTCTGGTCTCCCATGTTTAAGAAGGATGAATTCAAACTGGAACAGGTACCGAGAAGGGCTACTAGGATGATCCGAGGAATGGAAACCCTGTCTTATGAAAGGAGACTCAAAGAGCTCGGCTTGTTTAGCCTAACCAAAAGAGAGCTGAGGGGAGATATGATTGCTGTCTATAAATATATCAAAGGAATAAATACCAGGGAGGGAGAGGAATTATTCAAGCTCAGTACCAATGTGGACACAAGAATAAATGCATATAAACTGGCCATCAGGAAGTTTAGACTTGAAATTAGATGAAGGTTTCTAACCATCAGTGGAGTGAAGTTCTGGAACAGCCTTCCAAGGGGAGCAGTGGGGGCAAAAGACATATCTGTCTTCAAGACTAAGCTTGATAAGTTTATGGAAGGGATGGTATAATGGGATAGCCTAATTCTGGCAATTAATTGGTCTTTGACTATTAGCGGTAAATATGCCCAATGGCCTGTGATGGAATGTTAGATGGGGTGGGATCTGAATTACTACAGAGAATTCTTTCCTGGGTGTCTGGCTGGTGAGTCTTGCCCCCATGCTCAGGGTTTAGCTGCTCACCATATTTGGGGTCGGTAAGGAATTTTCCTCCAGGGCAGATTGGCAGAAGCCCTGGGGGGTTTT